CCTTCAAATGCCCCTTTGGCTGCTGCCTGTTCAGTCCCCCCAACCCCTCCTTCTGTCCCTGGGCTTTCGGGGGAAGAAATTTCAACTCTAACTTTTTCAAGGGTTTGGCCCAGGCCATTCTGAGGGTGGCGTGAATGAAGTGGGGGCACAGTTCACAGTGAAGAGGAGGACAGTGTGTCTACCAATTTGCTCAGGCTGGGGAGGAAAACCTTCAGAAACTTTCAAATCCAGGGGGCGACCAGATGGAGTGAAAGGGGACCCTAGAACTGAATGACAAAGTCCAGCGTTTGGCAAATCGTGCTCACGACCCAGCACGTGTGTCTGTGCCTGATCCCAGAGCCCACAGAAACGTGGCCTTCCATGTCACTGTCCCCTTGGCTGGCACTAAGGACTGGGGCCAGGTTTCTGGGCGTGTGACCTGGTTGCACAGGGCTCTGAGCTCAGATGGGCCCCGTGCTCGGTTACGTGCTCTGCCGTTGCTGTCTTGAGATTCTTCATAATTTTTGAACAAGGGGCCTCACATTTTCATTTTCCACTGGGGCCTGCTAAGGACAGTGACGAGTCAGGGCCCTGAACCTCATCCCGGGGCATCAGCCCAAAGGTCCAGAAAGGTAATTGGAGTTCGTCATTTTTGAGGAGGGGCACTGGGAATCTTTTAATCCAACCCCTCAGCTCCCAGATGGGGAAACTGAGATCCAAATGGAAAGAATACATCCAAAGCACTTAAAGAATTTTCTCATTTAATTCTCCTTTAATTCTCACACCAATAATACTAAAGTAGATACTATCTTTATCCCCATTTTGCAGATGGAGAAACCAAGGCTTGGACATAACCCAGAAAGCAAGTGCCAGGACCTCAACTTGACTCCAGGCCTCTTCTCCCTGCGTCCAGATGCTTTGTAGACAACCTCAACTCTGAAGCTTGGGTCTCAGTTTCTTCATCTGTATAATGGGAGTCACAGGGTGGTGGGGAGGCCGTGAGACAAGGGTGCAACATGCCTGGCCTGCCCGAGTGAGTGCCGCCTGGCTAGGCAGATCTCAGTGTGACACCTGGCCCTGCCACCTCCTTGCTGGTGACCACTGAGCCTCAATGTCTTGACCTGTGAAATGGGGCTGAGAATAGTAGCCCTTCCATGGGGCATTCGTGAAGATTATATGAGAAAAAGTAGGGGAGTGCCTTGCTCAGAGTCAGGCAGGGTGGAGGCCTCAGGAACAGCACAGAGGCCCAGACAAGGGATGACCAGAGCAGGCGTGAAGGGCAGAGTTGCTCGGAGTGTGGCCCATTTGTGACGTGGGCGCAGCAGCCTCTAGCTTGCTGGGCTGGGGGTGCTGGCGGGAAAGCATGCAAAAGCGCCCGGCATGGTGGCCAGTGGGGTCAGTGCTCAGTCACTGATTCCCTCCACCTTCTCTTCCTCTTCCTTTCCATCCTCTTCCCTCCCACCTTGGCTTGGAATATCTGTCAGAGCAGTCGGACTGCACGCACACACGGTCCGAGGCTTACGAGAGCAGGTGGGGCGAGCGCCGGGCCTGGCATGCAGAGGGTGTGGGGTTGCGGGTGGACGTCGGAGGGCGTCCCTGCGCGGAGGCGAGAGCTGGGGTGATGCTGGGAGGCCAGGGCTCTGTGGGGAGGCTGCTGGGCAGGAACAGGGCCTCTACCTTTGTGGGAGGGTGTTCTCGCCTCACTCCTCCTGGGCTCCTGACAAACTTTTCCTCTCATCCTTGAGCCTCCCACTGTAGGCCCTGGAAGGAGCCACGGCTGGGAGCCACCTGTGGACGCCCCATGGCACTGAGGAGTGGGGTGCTTGGCCGCGCTCCCCTCGGAGAAGCAGTGTGAGGTGGCAGGCAGAGTGGGGGTGGTGGCCGGCATGGGCCACGAGGGCCTCCTAACAAGGTCCTCACGCCCCACTGAACTGCACGCGGGAAGCTGGAACGGCTGCTGGGCCGGGCGGCACTGAGCGCCAGGCAGGCCCATCCATCATCGGCGGGGATAATTGTTCGGGGAGCCAGCAGGCCCAGCCAGATGTGTGCCTTTTGGGCTCTGTCAGAATGAATACTCCCTTTCAGGCCATTCATCAAATTTAGCCACATCTCCCATATTTTTTTCCCTTTTTGTTTCAGTCAAGGAAAGTTTCTTTTAATGAAGATGAACGCAAAGTGATGAGCTTCTTGGCAAACATCAGCAGGGTCAGAAGACAGGACTCTTTGGGGGACGTGAAAAAACCAGGCTGGTGTTCAGTGCAGAGAAATATTTTAGAGCAGGAAAGCCAAGTATCCAAGGCTTCAGGGGCTCACACTGTGGACCTGGGCACTCAGCCGCCTCCCTCCCCGCTGAAGCTCCACCTGCAGCATCCAGAGAGCGGCAATAAATACCACGTGCCATTCCCTGAGCGCCTACTGTGTGCCAGGCACGTCACCCCGTCTGACTGTGGCAGGTAAAATCATCTTTCCATTCAACAGATGAGGAAACAGAGGCTCAGAGAGGTTAAGCAAGATGCCCTGGTAGGGGTCCCAGGTGACATTTGAGTCCGGGCGCGCCTGCCCAAGAGCCCACCCTCAGCAGTGGAGTTCATTGTCTGAGAGGTCAGGTGCTTTAGACGGCCTGGGTCGAGTTCTAACTCCACCACTTACTAGCTGGGTGGTCTTGAGTCTCTTGCTTAGCCTCTCCAGGCCTCTGTTTTTTGGGTAATAAAACTACCCACCTCCAAGAGCTGTTTGAAGATTGAACGAGTGAATTGGTGCCAAAGCTGCAGTGCACGTGACTGTTATCTTTTTAGTTTCCTCTTTAGCATCTGGGTACCACTGAGTATCTATTTTTAGTATTGACCCCTTTAGGGTGGAATTAGGGTCACATCCCCGTGTGCTGGATGTGTAGGGGCAGCCCCTGGAAGCTTGTGGTTGTGGCCCCCATCCTGGTGGAGGGATGGTGGCTGCCGCTGATTGTGGGTGGAGGATGGAGTGCCCAGACCCTGGTGTCTCTTCAGCTGGTGTCTGAGGTCCATGGGGGTTGCTTTTCCTGAACCCATTGCTGCCCAAGGACCTGCCGCTTCGCCTTGTAGCGCAAGGGCTTAAAACAGGGCTCCCATCCAGGGCATCTGTTGTACTCATTTCTCTAGTATCAATGCATGCCCAACTGATCAATTTTTGAAGTTTCTGGAATGTTCCAAACAGTGTTAGAGTGACCTCTTCTCCATCCTTTGCCAGTGCCAGGTTCCGGTTTCCATGTATTAAAGATAATTTGATCCTTGCAAAAATTCTGATAGTGGCCAGGGTACCCTCTTAGCAGATTAAAAAATACCAAGTCCAAGGGAATTTCATACCTTACCTAAGATGAATAGAAGCAACAACATCTGTGGTTGGACTCCTGGTCCACTAGTCTTTCTGTCACCATTCTCTGTGACCACACCACGGTTGGAGAGAGTGCCGCCTCTCCCCCGGGGGGCCACTGCGATGACAAGTCCACACCCACCCTGCCCCTCTCCTGTTGAGTAGCAGCCATGGCTTTGGGAGGTGGAACTCCAGCTCCAAGGTGGGGCTCTGGGTGGCCTCAGCCAACCACGTGACCTCACCTCCATCCTTTGCCGTGCCGGCTTCAGGATTCCTCAGGGCACAAGAGTGGCTTCACCTAAAACGCTCATCTGGCCAGCCAGCCCCCTGCCTCTGTCACACACGCCTGCCTGTCAGTCTCATGCCTCTTTGTCCTTGGCCCCAGCTCCAGAACAGGGTCTGGCACAGGGCAGCAGGGCCCCAAACAACAGCTTTCAGTGGGAGGTCGGGTGGGGGCAAATGAAGATGCGGTGGACAGAGTCACGACCAGGAGAGGGTGGGTGGGCTGGGTTGTCAGGAAGTTTGGAGTCAAGCAGAATGGGGTCAAAATCCTGCCCTCTCCTGCACATGCTGTCTGGCCCTGGCTAAGAAATCACTCAACCCCTCATCTTTAGTGTAACAGGTCATCACGGGTGGTCTGAGGACCAGAGTCCCGCACTTACGGGGTCCTCTGGGTGTCAGGCAGGGCACTGAGCACTGCACAGGCATCATCTCGTTGAACCTCCCAGGAGGTGGGTACCAGCCCCATTTTACAGACAGGAGCTGACGTCCAGAGGGGTCAGGGCCACCACAGTAGGTGGGTGGTGACGTGGGACCGGCAGCCTGACCACACCACTGCTATTGCAGTCCTGGGTCCCTGCGGGCCACGAGTACTGAGCATGTACGAGAATCCCCTGGGAGCTGGTGAATAAAGGCAGGACACCCACACTTGGTGCCTGAGAGACCCTGACCCAGGAGGTCTGGGTGGGCCCCAAGAAAGGTCACGTTTAACACCTTCCCTCCTACTCCTCACCCCCTAATGCTGATACAGGGGGTCCACAGACCACATTTTCAGAAACCCTGCACAGGCTGTGCTGTCTGAAAACCCCCAGCTGAGAGCCCAGACCTAGAAAGTGAGGGGTAATAATAGAATAGAATTCTGATAATAACAGAGCAAAACTTATACACAGCCCACCATGTGCCAGGCACTGTCCTGGACACTTTAATTCATTTAATTCTCACAATAATCCTCCAAGGTAGTGATTGTTATTGTCCTGATTTTACAGAAAGCTTAAATAACTTGCTGATTGCCCTACATCTGGTAACAGCTGGTCAGCCAACTTTATTACAATTGCCACTATTTTTTTTATCTTCCCCCTGCATCCGCCTGTGCCAGACACGCCCTGGGGCGGGGTGGGGGCGCCCAGGGAGTCTGTGTTCAGGAAGTAGAGATGCGTGTGGTTAAGACCAGGGAGCCCGAGAGATGGGGCTGCCTCCCGGTCTCTAGATGGGGAGATCAGACACTGGCTTGGCCCTGAACCCAGACAGGTTTCAAGACACAAATCTTGGCGGGAGCTTCAGAAGGGAGGCTGGTGGGCAGTGCTGGCTGAGGCTGAGGTGGGTGGGGGCTCCCACTGGGCAGGTCCGGTCTCCTTTCCTGTGTCCAGCACCCCAACGGGACACTCAGGGGCTCCTACCTTCTTCCCCATGGCTGCTCCCATGGCGCGAGGTGGGCACCAGGCCTGGTGGGCTGCGGGGCTGGGCTGGGGCCTTCCCTGCTGGCACTGATCTCAGGAGCCAGGGCCCAAGGGGCTCCCAGGGCCAGGGCCCCCCGTCCTCTTGCAGCTCATTCTCGCGGGCACAAAGGCGGCTTTCACAGCCGCTCCTAAGCCCGGCGCGCCTCAGACAGGCTTAGGGCGATTGATTCTGACAGAGGGGCCAGTGTCCCCAGGCACCCGCACGCCTTCTGGGGTCCCTGCAGCTCCTTACCTCCCAGGCTCCTGTCTCTCACAAAGGGAAACTGAGGCAGCCAGGAAGCTGGGGGAGAGGCAGCGCAGTCCTCTCACCGCACACCGGCAGCTCAGGCGTGGAGGGTGACCTCTGGCTGGCCGGGTGGGCAGGACTTGGCCTTCTCGCCTGGCTGGGCGCTGCTCAGCAGACAGGCCCAGACAGTGGAGGCCGTGTGGGGCGGCCGGGGTGCAGGGACCAGGGCAGGCTTGTGTGGGGATGTCAACCGCTGCTGGACAGCCCCGTTAATAACAGACCTTGGAAGACACTTGGGGTCTGGGGCTCTCCCAGAGCAGAGACTCTGAGAGCAGACTCCTTCATTCAACAGGGCAGCAGGCTGACCAGGAGGGCTGGGAGACAGCCGGTCTGGGCTCAGGCCGGGAGAATACCAGGAGGCCAGATTCCAGGCCTGGGGCCAAGTTCTCAAAGTGCCCCCGGCAGTCACCCTCCTCCTCCCTCGCCATCCTCTTCCTTCTCCTTGACGCCAGCATGGGGGTACAGTTGGAGTTACCTTGGGCTTGAACCATAGTTCTGTGTCTGGCAGCTGCGTGATCTTGGGGACATGTTTGACCTCTCTGAGCCTCTGTCTCTTTGTGTGTGTGTGTGTGTGTGTTTGTGATAATCATTCACACCACACAGGGCTGAAAGGGGTAAAGTGTGTGCAGCTGAAGCCATCATTGCGTTAAAGCATAAATCAGATCATGTCACCTCCTGTTTTATAACCTTCCGCTTGACCAAATGGGGATAATAAAGGCCCCATCCTGTGGGGCTGTGAGGATAAAGTGACGTGATTGAAGTGAAGCTCTGAGCAGAACATCTGGACAACAGCATTTCTCCGCAGAAGTTAGATGCTGCTGTTACCACCCTGTTAATGATACAAATGATGGAACTGCTGTCCGTTGGGGAGTCCCGGATAACCAGTTAGATTAAGCACCACACCTTCTCCCAGGAGGTGGGAGGCTGTGGAAACTTTGGCACCCTCCCCTTTCTTCTAGCACAGCACCGGCACCGAGAAGGTGCTTGTGATACACACAGATGACTTATGGACTGGCAGCTGGCGAAGGGTCATGAATCAGACATTCTGGACCCAGCTTTGCCAATAGACCGAAATCCCCCATGGTCCACGGGGTCTGTCTATCTTGTCTCGCCTGTCTCTAGGGTCTCATTCCTGCTTCCTTCTCTCCCTGACAGCTCCTGCATCACGGCACCTCGCCCCACCTCAGGGCCTTTGCACTTGGCTATTCTCTCTGCCTGGAATTCGCCCTTCTGCCCCATACTTTGATCTTTCCATGTTTCTTTCCTTTTTTTTTTTTTTTGAGACAGGATCTTCCTCTGTCACCTGGGCTAGAATGCAGTGGTGTCATCATAGCTCACTGCAACCTCAAACTCCTGGGCTCAAGCGATCCTCCTGTCTTAGCCACCCAAGTAGCTGGGACTACAGGCTTATGCCAACACGTCCGGATAATTTTTCTATTTTTCGTAGAGGTGGGGTCTCACTCTTGCTCAGGCTGGTCTCAAACTCCTGACTTCAAGTGATCTTCCCAGAGTGCTAGGATTACAGGCGTGAGCCACCGCGCCCAGCTGTTTCTTTCCTTTTTTATCTCTCAGACTCAATGAGAGAAGCCTTCTATGACCCCCTGTGCAAAGCAGCCTCCCAGGCCCTCCGTTTATTACCTTTTATAGCATTTATCAGCTACTGGAATGATATTTCTGTGTTTATTACCTGTCTTCCCTGCTTGGAATGGCAGCTCCCCAAAGCTGGGACCTGGTCTGTCTTATTCGTCAGTTTATCCCCTGCGTCTAGAACAGTGTAGTCACTCAACAAATGCTGGTGGAAGAACACATGATGGAGGATTAAATGAAATAGGCTAAGAACGCAGAGTGCTTAGCACAGCCCTGGCTCATCGTAGGTGCTCACTTAGTTATTAATACTGTTGTTATTGTTGTTACTGTATTTCCTCCAACACCCACAACCCCTCCAGCCAACTTCTTCCTCTGCCCCTTCTCCTGAGTCCAGCCCTGCCTCAGCTGTCCCCAGGCCTCCTCTGCCTGTTCCAGTCATGACTTGGGCACAGCTTGTGACTTCCTGCAGTAAGGAGAGTCCACAAAATTGTAAAGGGCAATGACTAAATTGGCTGTCAGCTGGAGCAGTAAAAATGCTGTAAGTCAACCCTGAAGATCAAGCTCCTTTGGCAGCCATTCCATAATTATCCACCAGCTTGGCTCTTGGTGGGATGGGAGGAGAGAAAAAGAATTTTACACACTTGTTAATATTTTCCATCTGCTTGCAGTCCTGCTGAACTATGACTTAGTGCTGCGCCGAAAGCCCAGCTCCTGGCGGGACGAGGTTTTGAATGCAGCGTTCAGACCACGCAGTACGGGCAGGAGGAACGGGGGTGGAGGCCCCACAGCCCAGCACAGCACCTGGCACAGGGGAGGCAGTGGGAATACTACCCAGATGATTTATGGAGTGAAGAGGTGGAGGGCCAGGGATCAGGCATTTTAGATTCATCTTCGCCCATCTCACTGTGCGGTCTGGGCACACCTCTTAGCCTCTCTCTCTCTCCATCCGCACAATGGAATAAACCCCTGCTCCTCCCTGACCCGCAGCCTCGTGGCAGGAAGCAAGGCTCACAAAGTGTGAGGGGCTACACGAAGAGGAGTTCCTAGTCCCCAAGCCCACTTCCCCGCCATGATGATGGTGGATGTGGAGAATGTTGACTCAGGTTTGGTGCGACCTTCAAACGTCTTGAGAATTGTTCAGGAGGAGCAGGTTGTGGAGTACGGAGAGGAGGGACAGGGAGGAGGGAGAAGAGGAGAAGAGGGAGGAGGGAGATGAGGGGAAGGAGGAGAAGGAGGAGGAGGAGGAGGAGGGAGAGGAGGGGGAGAAACATTATTTGCCTCAGAGTAGTTTTAGTTTCTGTTCTATGTAGTGATGCAGACAGCCTGGGATTCCAATCTTTATTCTGAAGCTTCTTATCTGTATGACTTTGGACAAGTCACTTGGCCTCTCTGAGCCTCGTTTTCCTCATGTGTAAAAGGGGATAACAAGGTTCCCGGCCCCAGAATGAGGGGCTGTGAGGATGAAATGAGGTAATTCATGTAAAGCTCTGAGCAGAGCACCCAGAAACGGCAATTCTCCGTAGAAGTTAGTGTTGCTGTTACTGTGCTGTTAATACGATAATACAAATGACAGATCCGCTGCTCAGGGGGACGTCCCAGACAACCAGTTCAGCAAGCACTGGGCCATCCCCCAAGAGGCGGGAGGGTTGGGGAAGCCTTGCAGCCCTCCCCTTTCTAGCTCGGGCTGCCACCTACTGGCGAGGACCAGAACTACAGCTCTGGAAAGTTCCGGCTGAGGCGGGGGGAACAGATACATGCCCCTCACTGCCCGCTCCCCACTCCCCGGCTCGGGTGGGGGGCGCGTTGTTAGGGAGAGGGGAGGTAAACACAAGCCCCCAGTTCTGAGGCCATGATTAGCTTGCAGAGATTCCTGAGGCTGGTCCACCCCAATGAGAAAATTAGTCCCAAGTCTTATCCATTTTACTTTCTGAGTATCCAGGGACGGCCCCCCTTCCCCATCCCCGTGCCCCCTCCTGGTCTAGGCCACCACCCTCTCTCCCCGATGGTACAGCAGCTTCCTCACTGGCCTCCCTGCCTCCACTCCGTTCTCTGCACGGCGGCCAGGAATTTTTCCAAAAATGCAGATCTGATGATGCCACAACCCAGCTTAAATCTCTCAGTGTGTCCCCTGCCCAGGGACAACGTCCAAGCCCTCTGCCCGGCTCACAGGGCCCCTCAGCTCTCACCCCCCAACTCAGCCCTGTCCCCCGCCCTCTGCCTCTCCCTGGCCTGACTCGCTCCTGCCTCCCCTTTGGCTTTCCCAGGGCTCAGTGTGGATGCTGCTTCCTCCCGATGCCTTCCCAGACCCCACAGCGGGGGTAGGGCCGCAGCTTCTCCTCCCGGGCAGCCCTCATTAAGCCTCATGCCCGCCTGCGCAGGGAAGGTATCTGGTTTTCTCCGCTGCAGGACTCCCAGTGCCTGCCCGCCCCCGAGGCCCACAAGTGAGGAAGAGCCTCGAGTGAGGAAACTGCCTCTTAATGGGGACGTAGACCCAACTCCCTGCAGTCAGGTTCTCCGGCTCTCTGTCCTGACCTAAGGCCGAGCTGACCTGGGAATCCCTAGAGTGGCAAAAATGTCCTAAAAATGATGTTGACAGTCTGATGGGTGTTTGCACTTTCGTGCTGTGCGCCCCAGGGAGGCCCAGGGCTGGCTGGAGAATGCGGTCTCCGTGGCGGGTTTTGGAGGAACAACTGATGGCCCATTGGACTTTTGTAACGGTGTCGTCTCAGCCCTGCACCTTGTCAAGGAGGAGGAGGTGGGAGGGGCGTGATCTACAGTCGTGTTCCCCAGAGTGGTATAGCACCTGGCTTCGTCCACAGGCTCCTCGGCCTGCGGCTCCCTCCACCTGAGCCTTTCAGGGACTGGCCCTGTTTGTGACAATACTTACTGCAGAGACCCGGAGGTTGGAGGTCGCATGTCCCAGCCCCGGCTCAGGCAGAGCCCCACCCAGGTGGCAATGCCCACAACCTCTCTTAGGACGGGTCCCCCAGAAGGCACCTTTGGGATGAGGATTCTCATGCAGGTGATTTTTTAAGGTCTGGCCCCTGAATAGAGAGACGCCAGGAGTGGAGGAGCAGGAAGGGGCAGGGGAGGCGGCCATGCAAGGAGACGCTTTCAGGCCAAGTCCCAGCTTCAGCCTGATCCTCCTAGGAACCCTGGAATGTAAATTACACCTCCTGGTTGTCCCGCCCTGACACAAGGAGCCTGGCTAAGGACCACCCTGGGGTGCTGGGAACTCCCTGGCACTTCCCTGCCTTCTCTTTGTATTAACATTTGTGAGCAAAGAAGGCGCCAGTAGCCCGAAGACAGTTCTCCAAAGAAGCGTTCAGACTGACCATCAGAAGTGAAAGCTGGATAAGTCTACATGCACTACCATCTGAGGCCACCGTCTGCCTGCCCTGGTGGGGGAGGGTAGGTGTCCCTTTGAGCCGCCCTGAGCAAGCCTGCCATCCCCTTCCCTAGGGCATGCTGCCCCACAAGACTAAGCGAGGCCAGGCTGCCCTGGACCGCCTCAAGGTGTTTGATGGGATCCCACTGCCCTATGACAAGAAAAAGCGGATGGTGGTTCCAGCTGCCCTCAAGGTTGTGCGTCTGAAGCCTACGAGAAAGTTTGACTACCTGGGGAGCCTGGCTCATGAGGTTGGCTGGAAGTACCAGGCTGTGACAGCCACCCTGGAGGAGAAGAGGAAGAACGCCAAGATCCACTACCGGAAGAAAATGCAGCTCATGAGGCTACGGAAACAGGCCGAAAAGAATGTGGAGAAGAAAATTGACAAATACACAGAGGTCCTCAAGACCCATGGACTCCTAGTCTGAGCCCAATAAAGACTTTATTCCTCAAAAAAAAAAAAAAAAAGAGTGAAAGCTGGGAGGGCCCTCTGTGCTCCAGTGTGCTGCCTTTCCAAGCTCCCTGGTCTCCGGGAGACCCTTTCCGCAATTGTCTGAGTGAGCCAGTTGATGTGTTCTTGTCTTCTTTAAAGTGCCGTGCAATGCAGCTTCTAGAACAGTTCCTGTGCATCTTTTCTTACAACCAGGTGGCTAAACCATGTCCTCTTAAAATAGTGGCCACTGCCAGGAACTCTCTGCCTAGCCCTGTCTCTGGCTGTGAGCTCACTTTAGAAGTCTTTATTGGTTCTTTTAAAATTTTATAAGGTACTTTTGCTTGTTGTAAAGAAAAGTTTCCAAACATACAAATGTGTTCATGGGAATGATGGAAATTTCCTGCCACCTTCATTCCCAGAGCGGTTTCTGGCCAGGAGTTTTTCCAAGGATTATACGGATGTGGGTGTAAATGGTTATTGGGGGCTGCCAGCAAGCTCCCCCTTGTATCCCTGAGGGTGACTGAGGGTGGGTGGGGAGCTATGGGATTGGCGGGGTGGCTGGCGGGCACCTTCAGCCGACTTCCTCGGCCAAGCCTGCTCACAGCCGTCCCCCCAGGCACTGGGCCTTGATTCAGACTCCACTGCTACGTAGCCCATGCCCCAGCCCGCCATGGCCCCACACTCTGTGCTCCTCTCTGCCCCGGCCCTCTGGGCCCATTTGCGGCCCTCCTTGTCCCCAGGACTTGGGAACTGTGAGCCCCAAGACACTGGTGGGCATTTGCACTCGGACCGGGAGCTGCTTCTCCATGAGGTTTGCAGTCTCCCCAGCACACACCCTGGGGCTGAGCACCAGTGCTTTCTGCTCCTGTGCCCCCGTCCCGGGACGCGCTGGGCACTGGGCCCTTCTGAGACTGCAGGCAGGTCTTGGCACTGTATCCCTTGGGCCTTCCACGTCAGTGTGCCCCAGCGTTGCTGTGAAGCCACAGGTGACCACTCTTCCTAGGTAGGGCATACGACAAGTGCCTAGCAATTCACCTTACCCCCAACACCAGCAGCCCCAACAACGGCTGATGGTAGTTGGTGGATGAATACCCCAGCTCCCTCAGCCCACGGGGGGCTGTTCTACACGGACTCCTAGAGGCTCCTGGCAGGGTTGAGCCCCAGTCACCCGCAGTGGTAGCTGGGTTGATAACACGCCCTTTATTGGCTGCCCTCCCTTCCCTGTCTCAGCCCCTCAGTCCCCTACTGTGTTTCCTAGAATCACTGTCAGCGTCTGCTTCCAGCGACCGCGGAGGCGGCCAGGGTGTCTCCCTGTTCTCTCCCCTCGGTCTCAGATCTGCCGTCTCCTCTCCCTCTCCCGCTCCGGGTTTTCTCCGGCTCTCGTTCAAGCAGCCGGTAATGACGCTGTCCTCTGTGTCCTGTCCTCCAGCTGACTCTGTTACCTCCATCTTACACATGACACCGGGGACCAAGAATTCCTCCACACCTAAGGGTGATCCCTGCAACGCCGAGCTGCTTCCCGGCTGCCTGACGGTGTGCCCGAAGCTGTCGCCGAGCCATCCAAACCCGTGGCCCAAGCTAGCTGAGTCTAGACCAGTTCAGTCCCAGGGAGAAACGTGGAAACTTGAGTGGTCGGAAAGTTTGTTCAAAATCAACAAAAATAAAATTTAATTTTGCTCCAGTGTGGGCAGCCAGTCCTTCCTCAGGACTGACCATCATCAGCGTCCCTGACGAAGGCACACCTGTTCTCTCCACAGACGGCTGTCCCAGAAGGACCCTCTGAGGCTGGCCGTCTCCCAGGCAGGACCCGTCTGCCCAGCGGGAGGGTTTTGTTTCCAGAGAGAGGAAGCGGTCACAGTGCTCCAGACCATCAGACTTTCCTTCGTGCTGCCGGTGTCCACTCCTCTTCCTCCTCGGCCCCTGCCAGGGCTCTGGCTCCTAAGGCAGGCAGGGGCTTCCTCAGGCCCCCGGCCCAGGGAGAGCCACAGCCACCCTAAGCTGTCTTCAGGGGCACGCAGCCCTCCAGCTCCAGCAGCTCCGGCCAGCCCTCGTATTTGTTCGTTTCTGGGTTGTTCTTTAAGAACTAGAGAGAGAGAAGACAGAGAAACACAGACAATGGGGGAGGCTGTATAGGACCCACACCTGCCCGTGCGTTGTGCTTTAAAACCTAAGTGCCTCACTCACTCCATCCTCACCATAGCCCTGTGGGGGGCGGGGTGTTGGATACTACTGACCCATTTCACAGATGGGGAAACTGAGGCTCAGAGAGGGGGTGCAACTTGTCTAAGGTCTCAGAGATGGGATCAGAGCCCAGTTACTGCTATCATGCCCTGTGGGGTCACTAAGTGTTGGGGGAGGGGGCTTGGAGAGCCTTAGCCCCTTCCCCCAATTCTCCATCAGCCCCCCAGGACACCCTAAATAACAATAATAGCAATAATAAAAGGAAGACTCCTAGCAATTCTTGAGCACTTGCTCTATGCCAGGTGCTGTTCTGAAATGCCATATGTATTTAATCTGCGCAGTGGGCCTACAGAGCGAGCGCTGTTACCACCCCATTCCACAGATGGGAAAACCAAGGCACAGAGGGCCAAGGTCACTGCCTGTGCTCACCCAGGTGGTAAGTGGTGGAACCACTGTGTAATATTAATTAATACTAGTAATAAATATATGAAGAGAACAAAATCAGTTGAGGTCGTGTCTAAAATACTCAGGTTTAGTTTATGAAAGAAAAAATGTAAATGGCAAAATCTCCTGTTGGGATAATTATAGTTGACCCTTAGGAAGGAAAAAAGGAATTCACCTGAATACTGCTTCTCTGAAACCCAGTTTCCCACGCATGGGAACAAAGGACACATTGGTTTAGTCACTGGTGGTCTTTGGTTTATTTTCGGATAGTGAGTCCTGGTGAACCGATCATGAACAGGTAAAAGTCGGTGCTGAGTTTCCTGTGCTTGCGGACTTCCTACATGCTGCCTTGGCTGGGTTTGGTGGGTCTGGTGCCTGCGCTTCTGGGCAGCCCAGCACCCGCCTGCTGGTGCGGCCTCGGGCCTCTCCCTAGAGCCCCTCCCAGCACCCTCAGATGCAGGCTACATGGAACTATTCCTTACTTTAAAAAAACAAACACATTCTCTTAGAAACTCACACATACAAACCAAACCAATATTTTCCAGACAAGGAAAAAAAAATCCTTCCAGCCCAGCATGTGTCCCCACATGTGCCCCTCTCTGCCTCTCCCAGCCCCGGCCCCAGGCTGCTGCGCCTCCCCCCACCTGCCGACTGGACGCGTTTCCCTTCCACGGAGTTCTGCACACCTGGCCAGGGAGGCTGCTCTAAACGGATAAGGACAGGAGCGTTTGTGGAGGCAGGTGCAGCTGTGTGGGAAAGGCGGCCGCATCCTGAGGGGTTCTGGGCCCCGAGCAAGCTGGTGAGAAACTCTCCAAGTCTCTGGTTTCTCATCTGTGAGATGAGAACACAAGTGACCCTGCTCATGACTTGTTCAGCGCGTGTCTGCACCGCACAAGCGCCAGCTGAGTGCTCGTCTTTCTTATTGTCAGTCTGATCTTGCCACTCTCCTGATCAGGCCTCCCAAGGCTCCCCACTGCCCTCGGGTCAGAGTCTGCTCTGCTCAGTGTCCCATATGTTGAAGTCTTGACCCTTATCTCCCTGTCTTGGGATCTGGGCAGAGACAAATGCTCTCACCACCGGAGACCGGCCTACGTCACGCTGGGGAAGGCCTGGCCCATTCTCCCAGGTTTCTGGAATTGCTTCACACTGGAGATGGACAGATGGGGACAGAAGTCACAGCATTTCCCTGGGGACCTTCAGGGAACTGCCAACTCCCTCCTTCCTCCAGCGGGTGCTCCTCAGGGCCACCCCATGCTACGTCCCCCACCCCCCGACTCCTTCCACAGGCCCATGGAGGCTCTTTCCATTTCCCTGCTGGCTGCAGGTTCACTTTCTCCACAGGAAGCTTAGAAAGGACTCAGGGCTCCCCTGGTCCAAACCTTTCCTTTTACAGGTGGGGACACTGAGGCCTGGAGGGGGAAGGGCAGGCCAAGGTCACAGCTGGGACCGGCAGCCAGGCGTCCTGCCCTGCTCCGGCTCCCTTGCCCCTCACACAGCCGGCATTTCTGCGTGTCTGTCTCTTTCATCCATGCCTCACTTTCCCTTCGTCCTTATTTTCTCCTTTTCCTTCTCTTATCTGGCACTTATCCACATAGCAACGCATTCACATATGGCCCACCTTTTGCAAAATGGCCAAGGCAGCTTCCCTCTGGGGCCCACCCAGTCGGACCTCCCTGCCCTTTGGAGCGAATGACAACCGGGTGATGCTCCCCAGAGACTCCTCTCAACAAGGCCCGTGGTGGGTGACTGTCCTTCCCGCCCCCACCCGGCTCCTCATCCGTCCATCCCTGCTGCCCTCCACCCTCTGCGCGGGCACGGGGCAGTGGCCAGGAACCCACCTGCTCAAAGGGGCTTTTGTTCTTGAGGTCTTTGGCCCCTAAGAAGACCCAGCTGTCCCGGAAGCCCAGCTGATTTGCGTAGGAACTCCCCAAATTGGAGAAGAGCTGCCTGATTTCTTTATTCATTCTGCAGAGGACCAGAGAGGATGGTCAGGGTGCAGGGGTGGCTCGGAGGGGCACCGGGTGTCGGGCTAAGAGCAGGGTGAGGTTCCCACCCTCTGCTGCCGCGTTCGTCATCTATCCTGGGCGGGGCGCGCAGAGACCAGGGCTGTGCTCGGGAAGGACAGAAGGAGGGGTCTGAGCCTTCCTCTCCAAAAGGGCCTTGGGTGCGGCTGGAGAGGTGCTAAAACAGCGCTCTTTCTGTTTACAAATATAATACACGTCCATTTGGAAAATACAGAACATGGCCAAGAAGCAACTAAAATATACAACCTCACCTCTTTCCCTTGACATAATCATCATCAACATTTTGATATATTGGTTTTTTTCCCTCACTGAGCACTAGAGAGTGAACGTTCTTCCATGTCCTAAATATTTTCTGCACCATCATTTTTGATGCAATAGATCTTCATGTATGCATATATAATATATCATATGTCACCATGTCATAATTTCTGTAACTGGTCAGCTATTATTGGACAGGGAGAACGTTTCCAGTTTTACACTGTTGTAACGGAGGCTGTGATGAACCTTCTAGTACATTCTTTGCACACTCATCTGATGATTTCCTCAGGATAAGTTGCCAGAGGTGGAGCTGGCAGGAGAGAGGACCGGGCATGCAGAGTTTGGAAGTATTTGGTTTTCATCACCACCTGGCCTGGCAGGTGGAGTTTTCTACTTACTTGGTCCCTGGGTCATCGTAGGAGGCCACCAGCACCAGGGTGCCCTCTGGAATTTCTTTAAGGAATTTCACCAGGACCTGAACATCTGGGGGAGGAAGGAAAATGAGGTGCTGGTCATTTAGGGGAAATGACTGCTGGTCATTCTCACTCTCTTCTACTGTCTAGGAGTGGCCTGGGGCAGGGGGACACTGAGCTCAGAAGCCAGGAGGAGGCAGCACCCGTGGGTGGAGCCCCCTGCAGCCTTTGCCTTGGGGGTGAGCAGTGAGCAGCGAGACATGATCTGCAACGGCTTCTGGACACTGGTGACTGTGTCCCATCGGGTGAGTATGATGTGCCACTGGGGGTGAGAACTACTGGTCAAAGGGCCCTTGTGGGCCTGCCCGTCAGGGGACCAGGCACCCTCATCCCTCAGGAACTCTGGGTTCTTTGCACACCCCTTGCTCCCTTCTACACTGGATGGTGCCCAGATTGTGCTGAGTTTAGAAGGAACACATATGGCGTCAGACAACCAACCTCACTGAGAGAGACGTGAGTCTACTGCAGCTCTCCTGCTACAACAAGAAGCAAGACTTCGTTTGTGTCTTTAATGCCTCCCTAACTTGCAGAGCTATTAATGTTAAACTGAGAGCAGGCCTAGGCTCGGCACCTGGGGAGGCAGCAGCTTCCAGCTCACTGTGAGGATGATGATTTGTTTCCGTTATCTTTATTTTTGTAACCACCTTCCCTGCATAATAAGTAATAATGGCTTTCTACTTAAGGCAGTAATACAGTTTCCTTTTAAGACATATTTATGACATATAAAAAAGGTAAGCCAATTTAAAGGAAAATACTAATAATGCAGATGGTATTCTAGATAGGGTACAACTTAAGAGGCTCTTGAATGGCTGAAGTTTGGGAAAGAATAGCCCCGTGGTTAAAGCAGGGACTATATGTGTCAAATGAGGATGAGTAATAGCCCCACTCATAGCATCTTTGTAAAGTGCAAATGTGACGATGACTTTCAGCATACCGTAAGTGCACTGCAGTGGAATTAAAATTTATTAGCAGGATTGGCTATGTAATTTGGGGGGCCTAGTGCAAAATGAAAATGAGGGGTCTTTTATTAAAAGCTTGAGAATTTCAAGACCGAGATGGCAAACCAAGTATGAGATTCTTCTAAGCACAGGACCCTGTGTCACTGCTCTGCCCACAGGTTCGAGGCCCACAGAGCCAGCCTTGATTCTTAGTATTCCAGTGGGGACCCCTTGGACCGAGGGGAAGAATCAACTCCTCAACGAAGGCCAGCTGCTGGCCGCCCAGTAACACAACCCCCCAGTCAGCCACTGCAGCTACTCGTCTGATGAAAGGCCCTGAACTTTCAGGACAAAAAGGGTGTGCCGGGAAAGCAGCATTCGTTCACTTGTGTCGTTAGCAGATATTACAGTCCAGTGCTGGTCTGATGTGGAAAGTGGATGTTTGGGGAAAAAGAAGTGTGCCTGCTGCTAATTATCACCGAGCTTTAAAAAGCCATGGTCCTCTTTTGTCTCCTGGGGGAAAGGGCTGCTTGCTCTCCAAATGCGTCTGTTTCTGGGTCTCCATCAGCCACGGTTATATCCAAGCTCATAATAAGGCATTTTAAAGCTTAGTTTAATCTTTAAACATTTTTTTCCCTTTTCATTCTGACAGATGACCTCCTTGCTTCCGAACCAGTGGGATGGAATGAGGGAGGCAGAAAGGGAAGAGAGACTAAATTGGCTTCCCTGGGCCCCTCCGCCAGCCGGGCTGGGCCGCCTCCCCGCAATTATTTCAGGTTATCATTGAATCCCCACATCACTCTTACGGAGTAAACACTGTGGTCACCTCTGTTCCACACGTAAAGACAGTGAGGCTCCAGAGGCGCTAGCGGCTTCGGGTCATGAGTCTGAAGTTTCTGCCTCCAGAGCTGGGCCTTCTCCACAGACCTGGCCCCAGGCCACCTGAACGTCTGCAGGCGCCCGGGCAGAGAATGAGTGAAGGCCTCTGGCCCTCAGCCCGTGGCCTGCCCCCCTCTCTTCTCAGCCCTGTCCCAGCTCCCTCCTGTGCCGGGAGGGCCTTGCACGCCTGCACGTGGACACCTCAGTGTGCGTGTCCAAGTTCCTCCCATGCCACCCTCCCACCCAGCTACCCCCGGCTGCCAGCTTGAGGGAGGGGCGCACCCGGGAACAGGCCTGCCTGGGCCCTGCTGCAGGCTCCAGGTTGGCACATCCTCTGGCCCCACAGACTCCTCACCCATGAGCTGGGGTGTAGCTTGGGGACGGCCAGGTAGGGTCCTCTGAAGTCCTGGGGCCAGGACAGGGTCGAGCTGCCCACCTCTGAGTGGTACCACAGACCACCTTCCTAACATTCCCCACTTCCCACAGCTCAGCACCTTCCTGTGTTTGCAAAGCTGAGAGGGTTCCTGCTCTTTGCTGCCTGATGACTCCCCTTTTTGGGCTCACGTGTTTAGGTGGGAGTAGGCAAGGTGGTTTTTCTCTGGGGGCTGAGGCAAAGATGGAGGGATTCAGGAGAGAGGAAACTCAGCTGTTGGCAGTAGCAAAGACCCTTCCACTCTGCGAGGGGCTTTCTGGGGTCAATGGTCACACATGCTCTGTACCCCATGGTGGCCAAGCCTGCAGCTGGCCCTGTGGTCTCAGGGAGGTGGAAGGGAAACTGCATCTAGCTGGGCTCCAACCAGGGGCTGGAGCTCAGCTCCTCTGCCCTGATGGAAACCAGTCCCTGTAGGGCCCAGATCTCTGCCTCCTGCTGCTTTCCACTCCTCCTGGAGCCTCCTGTGTCGGAGGGCGCTGGGGTTGGCATACCGGGCCTGGAACTGACTCCACCACGCTTTGAAAGATGCTGGGAATGCTGAGTGAGGGTCCCACCCCACCCATAGGTGGCTGGTGGGTGACGAGGCTGCTGGTGGGAACTTAGATGTCCAGGATTTCAGCCGAGGTAGGTCAGTGCCCTGTCTTGCCTGGGTGTGCTAAGGGCAAGGAGGGCAGCGACTTCCTAAGGGGAAAGCATGTGCACAGAGAAGCTCAACAGCATGTCTGCGCAGAGAGAGAGGACAGGCATCTGCAGGCGGCGCAGAGAGCTCGGAGCCCGAGAGAAGTCATTTCTGGACCTCAGGAGGCCTTGACCTGTCCTTGGGTTACTAGAGATCCAAGTTCCCTTCACCTAGCGGAGCTTGAGTGGGTGTAGCCACATGCCCTCGTCCTCAGCACTTTAGTGACACTTGCCTGGCCCCTGACTGCCAGCACTGGCACTTCTCTGCTTGAGGGTCTTCTCTGGCCTCCAACTCCACTCAGCCCCGCTCCTCCCACCCAGGAGCAGGCCAGAAGTGCTGGGAAGTGCCAGGGAATTAGGGCTAGGGCCGCTCCCTCATTTCTCTGGGATATCTCTGAGGCATGTATTTGATGCTGGCTCCAGAGTTCCCACTGTGGTGTTGAATGGCTTGAGATCACAGTCCCTACCGGCTCCCTTCCTTTCCCTGTCCTCCTCCCTGCTCCCCTGCCGACCTTTCCTGAGCTCACCTCCCAAACTACTGCACTTGGATTCTTATCTCGGGATCTGAGTCAACCCCCACCGTGCCTCTTTCTGGGTGTCTCCTGTGGAAAATAAGCGTCAGGCAGCCCGCGGCAATGGCTCCCTTGCCCCGAGAAGGGGCTCAGCCCACCCTGCGACCCCAGTGCAGGAGAGGCGCCTACCTCCAGAGTACATGTCAAAGGTTTTCTGTTGCATCACCGTTCCCGTGGTTCCTAGGGGCCAAGAGAGCAGAACTGTTACCTTCTGCTTGTCATGTTGTTGAAGATGGCTAATCTGTAGTCTGAAGTCTAAGAATAGAATGAGAATTGAATGGAATCGGGTCCCGTGAGGAGCGCGCAGGACTGAAGCTGGTGCCCAGTGATTGCTGGGCTGATCTGAGCGGTCTGAGAACATAATGGCTGAGGGCGTCTCTGGAATCGAACAGAATCTACCCAATCCGAGTCTGTGCTCTGTCCTGCCACTTCCTCACGTGCGATTTAACATTTTGACCTCAATTTTTGCATCTGCACAATGGGTCATGAGAACTAAATGTGGTATATTTAAAATAGTAAGCATACAAGATAGATTTTAGCTGCAAAATCGTCACAAGAATGATGATCTTCATCAGTATTCCCACCTAAATAGAAAATCTGCAACTTGAGTCCTCCAACTCTTGAAGGCAAAGAGATGTGTAGTTAGCTAAATGGTACTCAGCTTCCCAGGGCCCAGGAATGTGAATTGCGTTTTTTGGGTTTTGTGCCAGGAGGAGGCAAAGAGCCACATCCTCCAGGAACCGAGGTATTCTGGAGGAAAGTGCAGTTCTCCCTTTCTGCCACTAGATGGAGGTGTTGCAGAAGGGATGGCAGCACTGCTTGCGGCTTCTGGGAGCAGGTAGGGGACAGGCCCTGGGCAGTGGCAGCTCTCCTTGCAGTGTGGCCAGGCTCACATAGCAGCCCCTCCAGGATTCTCAGAGCCACGTAACGTCCACATAGAGCTTCACCTGAGGCTCTTGGAAAGGGCCAAAGAACCCCTCAAACTGCTTGTTTGACTGTGTGCGTTTGTGGATTTTTCTGCAACTGGAGGGAGATGGTGGCAGCATAGTTTGAACGGTTTCTCAAAGGAATCTCTGCCCCACTGAAAGCTTAAGAACTACCGGATCTTTAGCAATTCTTTTGTTGTTCTGGCTCATTATAGACAGATGAGGGCCCCGAGGCCCCGAGATGATTTGTCGGACTTCCCCAGAGCTGGCACGCAGGTGGGCTGTCTATGTGCTTCAGGTTTCTAGTCCAGGGAGGTAGTTCAGCAGAGTGATTAAAACCTGGAGTCAGCCAGATCTGAGTTCAAATCTAGACCGTACTACTGGCTGTGCGACCATGGGTAAGTTGCTTAGCCTCTCTCAGCCTCCATTTCTTACCTAGAAAATGGGGCTATTGAGCATAGCTTTATTCTAGCATAGCGATGAGGCTAAATGAACAGCACACAATAAGTGCTCAATAAATGTTAACTCTTATTGTCATTGATGGCTATTTTTAAATTTTGGCTTTGTGAGAGGCAGCGAAAAGAGGCTCCATTCTGGGGCCATCTCATGGGAGAATATTCAAAGAGGTTTTCTCAGGTGGCGGCCCATTTGGGGGAAGAGAAACTCAGCAGGTTCAGCCGGCTCACTGCAGCTGGAGCCATTTCCTGCCCTCTGCACTGTGGGGTGAGGGCAGATTGGCTGGGATTGTCCACGCAAGCTCAGGCTCCTGCAGTCATCCGGGGTCTGGCTTGCACGGAGGAGTGCTGAGACCACCTGAGCTGCCCGCATGGAAGGAGCCACCATGCCAGCAGCCACTGTCCCGAGGCTGGAGGGGAACAGGCCCGGGCAGTCTTCAGACTGGAGGAGCGGTGCTCAGCCGTCCCGCTCTCCTGCCTTGCCCCTCCGCCCAGGCTCCCAGGAAGCTGGCCAGGCTGTTCTCTGACTCCCGTCTGTCCATGCAGGGCCCCATCTCTGCAGGCCTCACCTCTCCCCACTGCCTCTTCCAGGTTTCAGCCAGAAAGACCCGCGAGCCCCTCCCCTCCCTCTCCCTTCTCTGCCCCCTGCACCGTGTGGCCCCTGCCTGGAGGAGCCTCCCCCACTTTCCTCCTGGCAACCTCTACTCTCTTTACGCCTCTGTGGATCACTGCCTCCCTCTGGAAGCCTCCCCTGCTCCCCCGGCCCACTCTGTGTCCCAGCTCCCATAGCTGTGCTTCCGAGATGCTCTCTACACTGGCATTGTTTGTGGGCTTCACTGACACCCATGGGCGCTGCGAAGCCAGGATCTGTCCTTCCGGTTCATGGCTGCTGACCCCAGTGCCCTGTACAGGGCCTGGCCCGCAGTAGCTGCTGCCCATGTTTGTTGAATGAATGAATGAAGGTGTGCATTCAGCATGTGATCTCGCATTGCCATTGGTTGTCCCCTATGGCCTCGTGTGTGTTGGTTTAAGCAGGGGTGGCTCTGAGGATGGGTCATGTTTCAAGAAGTGTATCCTCCCAGGTCTGCGGTTGAACCAGGTCTTTCCGACCTTCCGTTCCCCCAGGCCAGCCACGCCACCCCACCCCCTGCCCTCCCCAGTGCTGAGAGCCTGGTGGGAGTTGTCGGGGGGCTGGGTCAGCGACTCACCATTCACAAGGGCGATGTTCAGGCCTCTGCCCACGTTGTTTTTCACGGGACTCATGATCCTGAAGATGAAGAAGAAAAACAAAACGCAATAGTCAGTCCCGAGTGTGGGATGAATACTCTCCTTTCATGACTGGGGGACTCTGAAAGGGCCCACGTGGTGCGATGCAGAAGCATCAGGAAACACATGCAATGATTTGGGCCATCTGTTTTCTCCGGGAAACCAGGGGCAGGCTAGATTCTCTGAAGAATTTCTCGTGGCATGTTTGGACCAGAACAGTCTGCTCAGAGAAGAGGTAGGGTTCCTGCCTGGGGCTCTGAGATGCTGGGGGCAGGCGGGCCCACCTTCCCAGGCTGTGACGAGTGGCTGCTGGGGGGAGACAGAACCCAGAAAGTTCTGCCATTCCAGGGCATCTGGGTTCCCCATATGGGGCACAGCCCTGTTCTGCCAGCCTGGCACGCACACCTGTCTTCGGAGGTTGCTGGGAGAGCTGTCTTTCTCCACTCTCAGGCCAGGTAGTTCCCAGGACTGAGCTCGCGCTCCCAGGCCCAGACAAGCAGAATGGCCTGTCCCTGGCCACCGTGACTGGGCTAGGCATGGTCATGTGACTGATCCAGGCCAGTCAATGAGATCCAGTCTCAGGACTTTTGCAGGGCTAATTCAGACAGCAAAGCTCTCTTCCTATTGGGGTGCTTGGCTGGGCTATTACGTCAAACCAACTGGTGACCTCTCTCCTTGAACACTTGAAGAAGTCCATTTTCAGTAGAGAAAAAAACAGACAGAGGAAAATAGAGCTGAATATGGTGTAAGAGGGAGCTCTGATGACATGGTTTGAACCCCTGGATATAGCTGGTCCTGAAGTCCACCACCTCTGGCCTTTTAGGTATGTGAACCAATAAGTTCCTTGTTTTTGCCAAAACAAGTTGTATTAGGTACAGAATCCTGGCTTAAAGATCTGTCTGTGTTCTTTTGTAGGGCAAACTTCTGCCCCAGGGCCTTTACTCTCTAAGTCGGATAATGGATATACGGTCTTCCTCCTGTACCTGGGTGGAAGTCCTGGCACCTGCTACATCCGGGCTTTGATGCCTGGGTCTTGATCTTGAACCTTTTACACAGGTACCTCCTTTTGTGGGAAGCCCAGTGGCTTGGCTGTTAGACAGACCTGAGGTCAAATCCTGGCTCCCTCTCCTCATCTTCACAATAGGGTTAATGACAGCCCCGCCTCCCAGGGTGCTGGGGAATGGATGGTGAGAAACGCTGTAAAGCTCTTAGCAAGGTGCAGGAAGACATAGAAGCTGTTTGGATTATTATTTGTGACTCATGTACTCGAGTAAAAGGAAGCCTGGGGAAGGTGTCACTGGTCTCACAGGTCTGCCCCCTGCAGCCTCTGAATTTTCTAATGAATGAACGAATGAATGAAATAAAAGAAACATAGGCACCCCTCAAGTACTTACATCTGGTTTTCGAAGCACATAGAGGGGCCCACGACGTTGGCGGCCCCGCTGCAGATCTTGAATGCGAAGAAGTTGGCTGGGCAGGGCTTGCTGAGGTCACACTTGGTCTTTACGACTTCTGGGGAGGGAACAGACCAGCCTTGGTGGGCAGCAGCTCAGGAAGGGCCCCGGGGAGGAGGAGAGGAGGGGAGGGGCGGAGGAAAGGGACAGGGCCTAGGAGTAGGGTCAGGACAAAGCCCAGAGGCCTCCTTCTGGAGAAGCCTTCCTGACCACTGAGTCTGGGAGATCTGCCACGGAGCCCCACTGTCCCTCACCAGAGCACGCAGGACGCTGGTTGTATGTCTGAATTGATTTTGGGGCTCCCTGTCACAGCTGCAGGCACAGCGCGGCACGCTCAGTGAGTGCAACCAGACTGAATGGTCAGAGGCACCGTGAGTAAGGGATTCTCTCTCTTGGGCCACAGCAGCCTTTTGAGTTCCCAGAGGCCCCCTCTGACAACTTCCTTGGGGCCCCAGCCTGCTGGCTGGGAGTGCCTCGCACTAGCCAGGCTCCTTTGGGGAAGTCTTCAACCTCCTCACACCTCACCTTACTCATCTGTAAAATGGGCTAACTATGGTGCCTTCCTCTCTGGGTTCTTGTGAGGAACAAATGAGCACGTGCAATATATATTGGCTATTGTTCTTATCATTCATTCATTTGTCACTTGTTTACTGAGCACCTACTAAGTGCCGGACCCTGGGATACAACAGAGAACAGGCTCTCCCATTCAGAGCTCAGTGTGGTACTTGAAAAGCCCACTGGGCACTCACTATGTGGCATCTCTGGTGACTGCGGCTGTTACTGAGACCAGTGTCCTCTCCACACAGCCTTCAGGGCCAATCCAGGAGGCCGGTGATGGGCGGGAGACAGGACCACAAGTGCAGCTGGGAGCAGCTCCATCCTCAATAGGCTCCCTGCGAGCTGGGAGGACATCTGCGCTTTTAGCCTGGCAGGCTCTAATTTATACTAATGCACGCTTTTTAGCAGCACCTGGTAGTTTGGAAGGCAGCATTAGGGGAGCTGGATAAACATGGAATGAGAGAATGTTCACCTGCAAAGGGGAAGCAGGGTCGGGCAGCCTTGCTCTCCCAGCCCCTGTGCCAGGCACCTGGCCAAGGTCTGCTGGTACGTGCTTTGGAGCAAACCCGTGGGCTCCTTAAGGAATCTGGCACACACCAAGGGCTTGCTCGGTGCTGGGCACTGGGGCAAGCACTTTATATTTGTTACTTTGCTACATTGTCCCCATAACTCCTGTGCCTGGCACGTAGTAGGCGCTCAATAAATCTTCACTGCAGGAACGCATGTGGCGTTTGGGCCAGGCTGTGCCTAGGCTGGGAAGGACAATGCGCTTTCCAGGGCCCTCACTGGCCTAAAGGGAGCTTTTAGGTGAATCAGGAAAATGTGCCCCTCTGGAGGGGACACAGCCCGCTGTGCAAGGCTTGGCAAGCCGGAGGCACTGTTGAGTAGGTAAAGCAGAAGTGGATGCAGCCTGCACCAGGGCACCCTGCTGGGTGTGGGTCCCCTCAGCTGAGCGGGCAGCCCTGAGGGTCTGTCTGAGAGGAAGTGACTCTCCTCGGGTCCCTCCCCGTCCGTCCGGTTTCAGCACACCCACCTGATGGGTGTGACCGAGCTGAAACCAGGACGTGATCACCCAGAGAGTGAGGGCAGGGAGTGGAGACACCGGGAGGGGCTGTCCAGGGCAGAGTGGCCGGCCATGCCCGGGGCCGGGGAGAGGGCAGGACAGGAGGAAGGGGCCCAGGTCCTGCCTGCGGGGTTGCCGAGGAGCGTCTGCCAGGGCCCCCTCCAGCCACCTGCACCCCTCACCCAGAGGCCAGTTACTTTTGAGACCAGAGGGTCTCCCCTATGCAGGGAGGGGAAGGTTTGTTCAGGCCTCAGGGACCACCCCTGGACTTTGCCTGGAGCCTAATCAACTGCAGCTAAGTCTGATAAACCTGCTGTCAACAGGCTGGCTTAAGCAGGCTTTTCTGGAATTGATTTTCTGACCATCCAGCCTTCACAGCCGAGCTGCTGGATGAAGGGAGGTGATGCCAAGGGGGTCTCTGCCATAGAGAGGCAGAGGATTTGCCCCATGGGCCCTGGGTTGGAAGGCCGTCCCACCAGCTGCCTCAAACCTTGAGGCCCAATCCCTCTGGGACCCTCGGCCATTGCCCAGGGTGTGGCGCCAGCGTGCTGTCTAGAGCACTGGGGTGGACATGTAGTCAGGCACTTGGGCTGCTCTTCTATTAATCTGTTGTGTGACTTAGCAGAAACTCTCCCTTTATCTTTGCCAACTGTGAAATGAGGGAGTTGGTTTAGCTCAGGATTGTCCAACGGGTTTCCTCTTAAATGTCATTTTGGATCTACTGTTAGAGGCTTAATGATAAAGCTCTGAGGCTGCCCGTGGGCTTGGAGGAGGAGCATGCTGGGATTGATTGGTGATGTCTACCGTGGGAGCTGGCAGGGTGGAAGGTAGCATGTGTGCTTGAATTTGTCATTCCTGCGGCAGGTGACGTCTAAGTGTGTGTTCAGTACCAAGATGCTATGACACTTTGTGTCTACTCCAGAATATGACTAAGGAGGCCTCAGGGAGACGGGGCTAAGGGCATGTTGTGTTGATTCATAGTCTTTGCAGTCTGTAATCCCACAGTGCACTGGGGCTCCTGTGCCCTTCTTAGTCGGGTAAAATCCTACTCTAGGAGCTGCAGGCACCACCTTGAGAAGGAAGATGGAGGGGCCTTTTGCAAAGAGGGGTTGCAGGGGTAGGATCTGGACTAGAAGAGGGGGTGGGGATTTGACTTCTGCTCCACCACAGAGCTGCGTGACCTTGGCCAGGAGATTTCACCTCTCTGAGCCTCAGTTTCCTCACCTATAAAAAGGGGCTAATTGTAGCACCTACATAGGGTGCTATGTAGGGTTACGAGAGATGCCTTGGAAGTTCTGAAAACAGCGTCTGGCATACAGTAGGCACTCAGTCATTGTTACTATTACCATCATAGCTGTCCCTCCCTTCCCCCTCATCTGCGCCTCGGGAGCCGAGGTCCTTGCTGGTGCCCTGTTCAGACGCCTGCAGTGGCTGACGTTTGAGGCCCTCAGCATTGCTGCCCTCCCAGAGCTGTCTCCTCACTGCTCTTGTCCTTGACTCTCCAGCCAAGGTCCCCAGTGGAGCCCTACACATTCCTGCCTCTAGGCCTTTGCATAGCCCATTCCTTCTTCCAGGAGGCACAGCTGGAAGGCCACCTCCTCCCTGAAGCCCTCCCTGCCCCTGCCCCATTGGAAGGAGGTGACCCTCCTGGAACCCGGTGTGCTTCCCCCCCTTCTTGGCACACTTGACATTTCTACCCCCGCAGACAATCAGCACCTGCTTCTGTCTGTCTCTGGGGGCTTCTGTGGTGCCTGGCATGGCCCCTGGCACTTTGGAGCAGGAGCCCTGCGCCAAGCCTGGGTCCCTGTGTGGTGATGCGGACGGCCCCCACCCTCTAGGCTCCCCGCTGGGTGGGGTGTAGAGAGGGGAGGCAGGGGCCGGGGGTAGGGAGGACTGGGGAATGGAGAGAGTCTGAATGGCTGAGAGGGGCCCACCCCTGCTACAGGGTCTGGGGGCTTCAGAAGGCAACACTGGGCCGTGGGAGGAGAGGGCTGGGATGAATCTGGTAACCCAGATTTCTCTGGGACCTGCAGGGCCAAGAGTGGAGACCCTGGGCCTTCTTGCCCTAGGCAAGCAGGAGCAGGGGGTGGGGTGGGCGGGCTGCTGGGGTAGGGGTGAGGTGGTGGAGCTGGGCAGATACTCACCGGTCTCCTCGCGGGCAGAGCCAGCTGCAGAGAAGACAGAATTTGGTTAGAGAGAAGGCGCTTTGGCACCCCTGCAGGATGGGGGCCGGAGAGTGGGAAGAAGGGACTTTAAAATGGCACTACTGAAATGAAATAAAAGTCCCTTGCCACTGTCACCTGTTCATACACATGCACGCACACAAACACATGCCCATAACACACACCAGCACAACAGATACACATATGTGTACAACACAGACACATGCACACACAATGCATGCACGTACACGATACACACGCATGCACATAGAGACACGTACACTCACACACATGTACATACACACATACACATGTACAGACATACATACACGGCTCTCCCGCGGTTAAAAAGAAGCTGGCTTCTGTTTGAGAGCCACTGGAGTTTGAGTGCCAGCTCCTAGGGTGCGACTGTACGTGGCAGTTAACCTCCTTGAGCCTCAGTTTCCTCGACTGCACGTGGAGACCAGCGCGGCCACCCTCAGTGGGCTGTGGTGAGGATCCGGGGAGGCCGACCTGAAAAGGCCAAGCCCAGAGCCTGGCCCCCGGCCCGTAACGAAGGGTGGATTGTGCTGCTGTTGGTGGTTCGGCCCGTGTTGGGGCATCTCTTTCCTGACTGCCTGTGGCGCTATCTGTGCTGGGCTTTAGGGCCTTGGTCACTTCCTGACATGTCCTCTTTTGTTATGTCCTACTTGTTTCTGCTGTTCTACGTCAGATCTCCTACCACACTGGCCAGGGCCACAGTGGCAGCAGAAATGCCAGGACAGGGAGCTCTCCTCTTCTGCGGGGACCCCCACACTTACACGCTTTCCATTTGGTCCTCAGGGGGCTGCCCAATCCTGGAGCACCCCTACCCCTGCCTCCAAGGCCAGGAGTTGCATGTCACCCGGGCTGGGCCAATCAGAGTGTTACAGTCCTCTGGAGACGGAGCCCTTCCCTGGGCTGCTGTATGGCCCTAGGGGAGAGAGCAAGAAGTGCCTTTTCCAGCCAGGCTGGAGGATGAGCACCGGGACAGTAGCCATCACGCCTGCCTTGGGGAGGAAGCTGCCCACGGAAGAAGGTTCTAACCTGCTGAGGTGAAGTAGAAACGAACAAATCCAGGGGTGTAGAGAGATAGGCTCTGGGGGATTGGAGGGGGCCCCTAGATCCAGCCACACCTGAAGCCAGATGCCCATGGTGGGCATCAAGACCTCCTGTTTTGTTGAAACCAGTTAGAGTTGAAAGAACCCTGCCTAACTTGCCAGGTAAACAAGGGCTTCTTGATCTCCTGATTTCTGTGCCACAGATCCCTTTGGTGGTTTGGAAAAAGACTATGAACTCCCTTTAGAATAAATTTATTCCCACTTAGCACTTTCTATTCCAATGAATTTCAAGTTATTAAATGCATAAAATAAAATAGACTGAATTACAAAGGAAACCAATTATTAATATATATCAGCATAATAATAAAAAATTGTGCTATAGTAATACATGTGCTTCTATATTAACACATAAAATAACAAAATGGGGGCATGTGCACCAGGTTAGGAAGCTCTGAAGTAAACGAAAGTTACCCCTTTGTCAGTGCCGGACCGTGAATGGGTTTTGACGGCCATCTTCCCACAACTGGTTACACTTCTCGAGACTCTGGGTCATGTTAACGCATGTTCATTTTTCTGTGTTCTGTAATCAAGTCTGTTTGTCTCTCTGACTCAGACCATAAGCAGAGGCCTCGTGTTCCTCATTTCAGGGTCCCTGGAACCCAGCGCAGAGCTCGACACCCAGCAGTCACTTGATGACTGTTGCTTGGAGGTACTGGTCTGTCAAACCCAGGCAGTTGAGTTCTGGGAGAGAGATAATTCCTGGGGTCTCCTTTCAACCACTGCTCCTCTCCCACCTCAGGCTGGGGCTCTCTCCTCAGGACACCCCTGCACTCCACACTTACCCTGAGCCTCCTACGCTGACCTGGGCCCCTCTTCTCTGAGGGCATCAGTGCAGCCAGGTCAATCTCTAGTCTATAAAAGCCATGCCCTGGGGCTGGGGACATGGTGGCCACCAAGCATCTATATAAACTTATAAATCGTGGGTCATGGATCATGCTTGCCAAGCAGCAGATGAGGTGAGGGAACTCAGACACTCCACTGTGGGGTTGTGCTAAAGATGGGGTGACTGGTTTCTTGCTGCCTTAGGAAGCTGTGAGCTGGCCTGGGTCACTACAGACTATCATGTCTGACTCTGTCAGTGGAGCTGGTTCTTGGTCTTCAAGGAGGACAAATCCAGAAGTCTGAATCCCTTCCCTTCCCTCCTTCCTTGATCACAAAGGATTTGAATCTAGAAGACCTAAGTTTCTGTTCTTGTCTGACATCTCCAAGGGGAGCTTGGGTGAGTTTTTTAATCTCCCTGAGCTTCTATTTTCTCATATCACATGTAAAACCACATGCTTGAGTCCACATCACAACCACACCATGAATCACTCCATAGGGCATTTGTGCAGATTAAAGGAGACTATGCATGTAAAGCAGATAGCATCCATCATCCACTTGTCCATCTGTCCATCCACCCATCCATCCACCCACCCATCTGTCCATCCATCCATCACTCATCCATTGACTCATCCATCCACTCACCTACCCATCCACTAATTCCTCCATCCATCCACCCATCTATCCATCCATCCATCCATCCATCCATTTTTTTCATTCATCAATGTTCACTAGGCATCTGCTGTGTGCCAGGTGCTAGAGAGATGGAAATACACAAAATAAAATCTTTGCCTTCCGAAAGCCCACATGCTGGGGGATGGAGACAGGCAATGACCAGGGAAACAAATAAATAAATAAGCAAACATAATGACAGGCGATGATGGTGTTCTGAAGGAAACAGGCTGACATGAGAGAAGCTAAACTGGGAGGGGTGTGGCTGTAGCTGGGGGGTCAGGGAAGGCCTCTGAGGAGGTGACATTTGGGCAGAGACCTGATGGCTGACAAGGAGCTGGGTGGGAGGGCAGGTCGTTGGCGGGGTGGGCTGGGATCTGCACAAAGAGGGTTCCAGGCAGAGGAACAGCAAGTGCCAGCGAAGCCACTCAACATAGAGATCGTTTTCTTTCTTCTTCCTTCTCTTCCTCCCTACCTCCCTTCCTTCTCCTCTTCCTCCCTCTGTCCTTCCTTCTTTCTTCCCTTCCTTCTTGGGGTCACCTTTCCAAAGCAGCCCTTGGTGCAGACACGTGTGTCACCCAGCTCCTTGGAACACTTCTCTGTTCCCCGTAGGCTCCTGACAGCCTTCCTCCCTCAAGTCCCTGTCCCCCCATATGGCTGGAGACCCAAAGGCTGGTGCACATCTTGCCATGTCTGTCTCCTGGGTCACCTAGGGATGGAAGTCTGCAGACCCTGCCCACGGCAGTGAGCCCCACTCACCCAGCCAGCGTGGCAGACGTATGGTTTTCATGCTGAAGTTCAGATAGTTGCGAATGAAGATCCACGTGGTGACCAGGACAAAGATGAAGGCCAGGAGGCGAAGCACACCTGCAGAGCAGGGAGACGCTGCCAGGAGACCACAGCGCTAGGCCACACCGCAAGGCCTTTTTACAAGACCACGCGAGTCCTTCCCAGATCCCCATAATGAGACCACATCACAAGATCCCATGTTGTAGGTTCAGACACACCCACGCTGGGACCCCACTGTGGGACCACGTGCTAAGGCCACGTGTGAATCTGTGCAATGGTAAATGGTGACATCATGCTGCCAGATCATGTGTCGACTTTTCCCCCAAGTGGGTCCCCTGGGAGAGAAAGTTAAAAATGCACCTTTCTGGGCTCCACTTAGCCCTCCAAGAGAAAATCTCTAGGAACGAGGCCTGGGAATCTGCACTTTTATACACCCCCCACCCCGAAGGTGAGGCCTGAGGACTGCAGCAGAAGAGCAGGAGGCAGGCTCTGGGAGGGGAGCCCTGGAACAGGAGTCAGGAAGGCTGTGGCCAGCGCTCAGGGCAGCCAGCGGTGCTGTGTGACCTCAAGCAGGAGCTCAGCCTCTCTGAGCTGGAGTCCCTCAGTCAGAGCAGACATGGTAACGCCTTTGCCACTGAGCTCACAGCTTGTTGGGTGGGTGGGGGGATGTTGTTGTCAACGGTAGGCAGCCTCCAGGGTGGCTTGGAGGTGACGTTGTCCCCCTACAGTTTCCATCAACTCCCCCTCACAGCCACCACAAGTAGCCACACACCGGACTTGCTGTGCAGCTTCAATCGAGCCGTAGCTCCCGGCCTCCCCTGCCTCACAGCCAGGTTGCTCCTTGATCCCCCATGTCACTGAGGAACAGCCCCACGCACGGGCTGAGCCACCTGGAGCTCGCTGTACCACTCCCTTTCCTTACAAGCACCAAAAGGCAGGTCCATTTCACTTCCCTGTTGCCTTCTGAATCGGGCCCACCCGTTCTTCTCTGACCTTCGAGGCTCGGGCACGCCTAGCTCTCCTCCCCCACTCCCCAGCCTCCCTGGTGGCATCGCCTTTGCTCCTCGGCCCTGACTTCAGCTCTGCGGCCTCGCGCTTGTCTCTGACCACTCGGGATGAGGAAGGAGGTACCCTGGGTCCTGCGAGGTGGGGTGCAGGTCTGCGGGGACCCCTTGTCTCCTAGGCCACCACGTGGCTCTGGGCACCCAGCGCTCCTCCTGGACATCAGGTCACAGTTATGCAGCTCATTTTGTGCCAGGCACCATGTGAGCAGCTTTTAAATACAGGATCTCAATTCATCCTCCCAGGAGCCCTGTGTGCCGGACGCTATTGCCTACCCCTATTTTACAGATGAGGAAACTGAGGCTTGGAGAGGCAGTCACCTCCCCAAGGTCACTTGGCTAGTAAGTGACAGAAGTAGGGTTTGAACCCAGATTAGTAAACTGACTCCAAAACATGTGCTCCTGAATCTTCATAAGTGTTTGGGAATAGAAATGAGACATGTGCACTTCCTGTTTAGTGCCTCAGCTTCCCTATCTGTACAAAGGGGGTACGGTATGAGGGTGTGGACCAGAAGGCCTCTGCCTTCCTCCTGCCTGGCCCTATGGTGTGAGGATTCTAGAATGGCCGCCTCGAGGTAAATATTTTGTCCCTAATTTCTAACCAGGGCCAAGTGTTTCCAACAGGAGGCTAATCCCTGTGATCCAGCCAGGTGGGGCCGCTGTGCCAAAGTTTCTCCTGCCCTTCAGCCTAGAGGCAAGGAGTCACCTCTCCTCTCTTCCCGGCTCCCGCTGGGTTGGTTTCCTGGGAATTCTGGCCTGACCATGTGAGAACAGTTAAAGCCAAACCACCTCTGAGCCCAGGACGGGCGCACACTGCTGACAGAAAGATGCCTCCAAAACCAACTTCAGGGCCCCCCCTGGAGAATCTTCAGGATCTGGGCCTACCTGACACTCTCATCCTGTCTGGGTGAGGAGCGGCTTGAGGTCAGCGTTAACCTAGGAAGAGAAGAAAACCAAGTTGGAAAAGGCTGTCAGGTCTGAAATGAACAGGACTGAAGATTAGAGACGGGCACCTCGAGCTGAAGAGATCGTGATCCTGTCACTTGGGTTCTCACTACCTACCATGTGAATCGGGGGCAATTTTCCTTCTTCCTCTCTGCCTCCCCCTCTCCTTCACTCTTGCCCCTGGAATTTCATATTCAATTTACTATGTCTGTTTTAAGTGCAGAGATTAGACAGGAGAGGAAGGTGCAGCCTGGTTAGCCACTGTCTTCTGGACGATTTTATTTATTCACTCATCCAATCATCCATTTATTCATCTGTCTGTCCACTCATCCATCCATCCATCCTTCCAACCTTCCATCCATCAATCCAACCATCCATCCATCCATCCATTTGTCCATCCCTTCCTTCCTTCCTTCCTTCCTTCCTTCTTCTTCCTCCCTCCCTTCCCTCCTTCCTTCCTCCCTTCCTGCCTGCCTGCCAAGAGATGTTGAGCTAATCAGCCAACATCAGCAACACCATCAGAAAGCAGAAGCTTATGCGATTTTTGTTGATGCACCAAAATGAAGAGTAACCAGAATTCACATATTACAGGTGAGTTTGCACCAGGTGCTGTCTACACAGTGTCTCCTTTAATCCTCATGACCCCCGTTTTAGGGACGGGCAAGCAAGACCCAGCATGGTTGAGCCCAGGGTTATTCAGCTTGCGAGGGCAGGAGCCAGAATTGGGACGCACATCCTCAGCTGCTGAACGCGCCCTGACACTCCCCACAGGGTCCAGTACTTTCTGTCTCAGAGGAGGGTTGAAACCAAGGTTTCCTTCCTTCTTGAGTCCCAGGCAGGGGCAGGGCCATCCTTCTCCCCACCTCTCTCCTGTGTCACCCGCGGGTGCTGGGCAGTTACCAGTGATTCGGCAGCTTTGAAAACCCCCAGGAGGTCTGTGGAGACTTAGGGGAGGGGAGGGCCGGGCTGGTGGTCTTGGGTCTCAGGGCCACAGCCAGCCTGGGGGCAGCAGGTGGCCTTCTCTGACTGCAGTGACCTTGCTCTCACCACTCGTCCTGCCCCCCTCCACCCCAGAATCTTCTTTATCCTAAAAATCCATCTCAACAGACATCGTCTCCAGAGCCCAACCGCCGAGGGCCCGGACCTGAGGCAGGAGACCTGGACTCACGCCTGGCACTGCCCCGTCACCCTCTTTGACCCTGGGCAAGTCTCTCCACCTCTGCGGCCTCCCCGTACGTGTACACGGGGGTGCTCGGGCCGGCCCAGTCCTTAATGTTTGAACAGCAGCAACTGCAGAGCCACACGTCCTTTTATGGTTGTAACAGTCCTCCCACCTGGCCCTGCTCACTTAGGGCCTTCCGGGTTAGAAAACTGAGCCGTCCCTGGATCTACCCACAGACATTTTGTGAAACTTTAACTTCTTGAAATTCAAATTACCCGCTTTTTCCCCCTCCCAGATACAAAAGTATATTATTATGACAACTGTGCTGAGGGTGTGACCTATGGTCCAGGAGCCCAGGCCCCTGGGTGAGACTTGAAAGACATTCTGCAGGGTCCCCTGTGTGCGGAGGAGCCGGACAGCTGGAAGCCAAACAGGATGGAAGACGGACAGATGTGGATCTTCTCGGAGAGAGTGTGCACGGAGACAGAGTCCACCCAGGCTGATCGAGTCCAGGACAGGGGTTCAGGGGATGGGGAGAGGGAGATACAGAGAGAGAGAGGGAGAGACAGAAAGAAAGAACAAGACAAGCAGAGAGAGAGAGATAGGGGCGGAGAGAGGGGCTGGGGGACACAAACCTGGGCAGGGGCTGTCATTCCCATGCCAAGCAGGGGTTCTGGCTTCAGGGCAGGATGTGGGGAGGGGCAAAGCTCAGTCCTGGCTGGGCTTCCAGGGCTGTCCCCACCTGCTGTCCTTCCTGGCTGAGTCCCTGGCTGAGTTCCCGGCTAACCAACCAGCACCTGCAGGGCTCCCTGGTCTCCCGAGCGTCCAACCTGCTCACCTTAGCGGCACATGGGTGCTCCGGAGCTGGAGCCCAGGACTGGCCTGCTGGGGTGGGGAGGAGGAAAGACACCTGGGATAGGTAGGCAGTGTGGGGCAGGAATTCCCTCTGCAGCCACCCAAACCTGAAACAGTTTCCTTTCTCCTTCCTGCTGGAGATTGGTGCAACCTGTTGTTCAGGTTAGAAAGTTGCCTGACAAAGGCACAGAGAGAAAAGTCTTACTGCCCTGGATGCTTACTTAGCTGGCCTAGGCACAGATAAGGTGGCCCCAGGGTAGCAGGAGCTCACGTGGTTAGGTGTGCGTGGGGGGAGGGAATGGCAGTGTGTGTGTGTGGGGGGGGGATGGCAGTGTGGTGGGGGAGGGCACAAATTGCTGGCAGCTGCCCGATCCTCCCTGACGGGAGACGCCATTATCCACCCTCACTGTCCTAGGTTCTCTCACACTGTCCTGCCCCTCCCCGTGGCCCCCTTCTGATTTCTGGCTGCAGGTCAGCCACGCGCAGAAGCCCCAAGCACACCTTTCTTTTCCATGCCATGCCTTGTCTCCTGAAGCCCTAGGATGATGAGTATTGAGGAAGTGCTGGATGAATATTTGGAGACTGAATGAACTGGATTCTTGCATAGTCCTAAAAAGTCAGGATGATGAAATCACCAGATAAAGAAGGAAGCTGAAGTTCAGAGGGGGCAAGTAACTTGTCTAAAGCCACACAGCTAATTGTGGATTTTATTTCTGAAGCGTCTCTGAGCATCCGTGGGAAGGCAGGCCAGGCCCCAGGCATGGGGGATATGGCTTCGGGCGAGACATGCTCTGGAGCATCCCCAGGTTTTTGCACTGGCTAGTCCCTCTGTCTGAACATTGTTCTCCTGCTTTTTGGCCTGGAACACTTCTACTCATCTTTCAGGACTCAGTGGAGAAGTCCCTTCTTCTGGGAAGCCTTCCCTGACCCTCCAAGTCAAGTTTAAACACCTACCCATAGTCCTGGATGGGGGCACATCCATCGTGGCACCCTGCCCTGTCTCAGGGGCTGGGCAATCAGAGCTTTGTGATCTCCTTGTGATTGGTTCAGGAGTGAGCATGTGACCCAAGTAAGGCCAACCAGAGTGTTCGCTGGGATAGATACATGGAAACTGGGGAGAAAGAAGCTCTTTATTCCCTGGAGATGCTAAGCTAGACATCTGTAAGTCTGGGGCTACTGGGGTCCCTTTCTCAGCTGCTACAATACATCACCTCCTACCATAGACACGTTCTGCCAGGAGATGCAAACCCAGGGGCTGAGCGGCTGGGGCAGTGCATGTGGTCTTGCTCTTGAAAGAATCAAGCAGTGAAAGTCTGTGATATTGGGAAAGAGGATGAATTTGGGGATGTGATAAACCAGGTTTTGCCACTTACTAGTTATGTGTTTTGGGGCACAGCTTTGGGGCCTTGATTTCCTGCTTTGTACAATGAGGGTGATGCTGTCTACCTATCCTGGCAGGGGTGTCAGGCAGTGAGGCTGCCTGTCTGGAAGGGGTCTGCCCACCTGCCAGCGTTGGTCCATCTCTTCCCTGCTGACAGGCTCCCTGCACCCTGCTGCTTCCTGCTGGTGCATCTCCATGGCAGGACTCCTATACTGATGTGTGTCCTTGTTGTGGAACCAAAATGCCATCACAGTGTCTGCCTGCTGGTATGTGACATTTCTTAATGTCCCTGCAGGAGCTGGGACATCAGCTTCTTCATCAGCTTCTTCTTCTGGCCTGGAGCTCTCTGTACATAGGTGCTTTTCATCTCACCCGAGACCTGCCCCAGGGCCAAGATGGACGGAGAAAGGAATACTGTGTCTCCAGGCTGGGACAGTTGAGCAGAGCAACCTGGTGGAGAAATTAGCAGCTATTTTCCCTGCTTAAATCCTGGCTCCTGGCCCTTCCCTGGGAATTCCAAGTGTCCCTCCATGAAGGCACCTTGCCATGCCCCGTGGTCAGCCCTGATTTGGGGGCCAGCTTCTCCTCCCGGCAGCTGCCCTCAAGGGCCTTCATTTTTAGTGGCCTGGTGCTAGCACCCAGGCACAGAGTATGTGTGCAGAAAGTGGTGTTTGAAGGAAGCAAGTGGCTTTCAGTTTGGGAAAGGACGGACATTGGTAGGAAAAAAATCTAGGAGCTGTTCCCTCTATCTAAATGGCTTTTTCCTTTCCCCACAATGCCCAACATTGTTCTCCAAAGTGGAACTCTGCCCAGAGGACGTGCTCAGGCTTTAGAATCTTCTGGAAACTCAAGCCCTGGCCATTTTCCTCAACATCCCTGGAAATTATGTAGACCAAGCATGGTCACAAAAGGCCAGGGGTGCTATCTGTTCTTCCTCCTTTCTCTTCCACTCCTCTCTGCCAGCAACCCCGTGTGGGCAGGGATTCACGGCCAGGGATGCATTCCGCGTGCATGCATGTGGGAGATGGGAACTCCAGAGAGGTGGTGACAGGGTCTGAGGCAGACAGACTCAGACAAGACTGAAGTAGACAGACATAAACAGAACGAAAAAGAAACAGACACCCAGAGACTGGAAGTGACCAATATATTGACAGACACACAGGCACATATAGCATGCGTGTGCACACACGCACGCAAGCACAGACGAGTCAGGGCACTGCCAAGGGTCCCCCTGGAACTGGGGGATGATGTACACCCTGCTCGACCCAGTTGCCCCTGCCTTGAGTTTTCGATCATCCCCCGAAGCCGTCTTGAACTCCCATGTTCTGGCCCAGGCTTATGTGAAGTAATCAAAGTAACCAGAGCTCACCTTTCATTCTCTAAATGCTCTTTCTGGAAAACCCCCAGTATTTATGGGCAATTATTGATCATGTCACCAATACAGGGGGAGATAAACAGCAAATAAATCCATAAACAATAAGGCTGGTGGCTCAGACAATTTGTTCCAGTGACATTTACTGTGGAAGGAAAAAGCCCCTTATTTCCATTATGCCCTGTTATAATTTTATTTGTTGGTTTTAGTGGTTTCTCCAG